TATAACCAATTGTAAAAAATTTTTTCACTTTAATGGACAATTTTCATATAAAATCAAGACAAGTGAACACTAAACTTTGATGAAAAAATAATTTTCTAGGAAATAATTTTTTTTATTTTTTACTTTTTGGCAATGGAAACAAATTTTATAACAAATTGTGGAAAAAATTATCACTTTAATGGATAATTTTCATGTAAAACAAAGTCAAACAAACACAAATAGATTCAAAATTTTAAAAAAATTTCGGGTGGAAAATTATACCAATCAAACACATTTAATTAACAATTCACAGCAAAACAATTTTTAGGCAATTACTTTCCCTGAAATTCGATTTCTTTCCACCCATTTTCCACCATTGCAATCAAACGGACCTTTAAAGTGCACATTCAATTAATTTACATTTAATTACATATGTAGTCCTAGAACTTTAATTACAATTATAATTANCATGAAGAATAATAATTCCAATATCAACGAAGAGTTTTAATTAAAATCCAAGTAGGAGTTTTAATTGAAGTCAAAATCCAATTAGTTTACATTTAATTACATGTATAGTACTAGAACTTTAATTACAATTATAATTAAGTTTACAACTTTTATAGCAATTAAAACTAAGTATAAAACTTTATTATAATTATAATTAAGCCCAATACTATTATAATTACCGTAATTAAGTCTCAATACTTTATAGAGCTACTGTGGGGACATGATCGAACATTTCAATAATTAGATCCTATCTAATTGGCCATAAATGCAAAAGATTGAACTCTCGGAATATATAAGATCACAGAAGCTAATAAATTTGTAATACTTTCATCTGATTTGTCGTATATGTATTTTATTCCCTTCGATAATTAGATACGAGTATAAATGACCGTTTTTCCCCTCTAATTACTTAAGTACTTCAATGGTCCTGTGAACACATCACAGATGTTGAAGTTTAACCATCGCGAAACACTAATCTCAGAATTTAATCTTTCAACTAAAAATACCCAAGTAGTCACTTTTCCTATTTTTGAGGACGACAATTCCCTATACGAATTCATATTCTCTACTTCGCTTATTCTCAAACTTTCAACTCATCGAGTATTTGACCAATCAAATTAATCTTACCCATTGATGAATCAAAGAACCAAAGTCACGAAAAAATATACATTACTCTATTANTCCAACCTATCGAGTATTTGTCCAATCAAATTAATCTTACCCATTGATGAATCAAAGAACCAAAGTAACAAAAAAATATACATTACTCTATTAAAGGATTTAGACAATATTCGGCAATCAAGTGGAATTTAATTCTCTACACGGTCATACTATAGAATTAAACTTGATATGTGGTCCGTTCAATGCATTCCAAGTATACTAGTGTCACCTTTAAGTATTTTTGTGATAAGGATAAATCACAAATCCGAATTGTGAATCAGTCAACATTTCAGTACAAGGTGTCAATCCTTATACATTGTGAACAAATTATTTATGATCAAAATATAAGTTATGACACGCTGTACTTCTCAATGCATGTAGCCTCAAGTGATCATAGATACTTTAATTCGCATACTCAAATAATATTAAATGCAATAAAATAAATAAAAATCAAATTTTATTTGTTTTAAAATATTATTTTATCACAACATGATATACTATTGGGCCTGCATCCCAGCACCCAGGAGTCAAACTTCCTTCGATGAGCTCCAGCTTCCTTGGATAAATGAAAATTGTAAAGTTCTTTGATCTTTGTCATAGTCTAGAAATCTCTATTTTTTTATGCAGATGTTAAGATTACTGGTTAATTTTTTTTTTCCATGTGTAAACGGGTTTTGGGTTTNTGATCTTTGTCAGAGTCTAGAAATCTCTATTTTTTTATGCAGATGTTAAGAGTACTGGTTAATTTTTTTTTCCCAGGTGTAAACGGGTTTTGGGTTTCCACCTGTAGGTGAACTACTTTGTCCTGTTCACCTTTATTACTTTTTCCCCTTCCAGTCGCCTTTTTTTACTCGAAAATCCCTACTTTTCTCATTCTGCATTTTCTATCTCCTTCCCACTACTAGTGTTCTAAAAAGTGTAAAGCGTGGATTCGAAACTTCAAGTTTTATGAGCTTAAGTGAGTCTAGGTGAGGCTTAAGCATAAAAAAAATACTATATTATTTTAAATTTTTAATCATTTAATAATTAAAATAATACATATCAAACATATACAATTATAAAATACTATATTTAATAATTCCTACCATTAGTCAATTATACAATTCTCAAGTTTTCGGAATGCAAAAATTAGAATATTTTTCATAATTTTAATTTTCAACTAGACAAGTCATACTTAATAGATTTATAGAAACTTCATACATGTTTTTGGAGTTTATAACAAAATAACGAATTTCAATATCATAATTACATAATTTAGATAGCACAATAGCTTAATCTTATTTAACTATTTAGATAAAGTTATTTTTAACTTTTGCACAAATAAAATCTTTTAGAAATTTGAAATTAAAGTCAAAAGAAAAGTTTTTTTTTTTAAATTAAAAAAAATAATAATAAGCTAAAGTTAAATAGAAGTCTTTTAAAAAAAAGAAAAAAATATAAAAACTAATAAAGAGCGCCTAGGGAAGAAGAAAGAAAGGAAGGAAAAAAATCAGCTGAAAAAAAAGCGTCTAGGTGCAAAGGGAGACGTTTTGTTGGAGCTTCGAGCCTAGAACATTGCACTGCACGTATTTTTCGGCGAGACAAGTGTTGAAGCTAAAACCAGAGGCAAAGTCTCTTCAGAATCAGATGTATCGATTCAGCTTGATCTTATGCCCTTCTCTCCTGTTCCTAGGAGTCAAACTTCCTTTGATAAGCTTCAGCTTCCTTGGCTTAATGAACATTGTGAAGTTCTTTGATATTTGCCATAGTCTAGAAATCTACGTTTTTTTATGCTGATGTTAAGATTACTGCTGTAATTATTTTCTTAATAGGTCTTTAATCTTCTAAGATGTTTCTGTTTCGTACAGTGGTTGGTGAACCTGGAAACGTAAACCAGAGGATTCGAGGGGTGGAGGCTGAGGAAGCCATAGCTATT